TGCATTGTACTCTGTTTGAATCAGATTGACCCACATGTATTCTCTCTACATATAGTGTCCGGTGACAAATTGGATTGTGGTTTGTCTCGCACTGATGTTGAGTTGATGGTTGTGTGGCGATAATGTAGTGTTTGTTGACAGACAAAATGAAGCAATCTTGAGTCAAATGTGTTTGTTGTCTGTATGGGTAAGGGATATATATTCACCTAATAAGCATGCCTATATATGACTCAAATTAACCTGAGGCTATGTTGTGCTAGTGACTGGTATATAAGCACAATAGCCAATCCGGACATTTAAAATTCATTAAAACGTAGATGTTCTCACATTAATCTAAGTAAACATGATATAATAATAGAGAAGAGTTTATCATTAATATGAAATAGTTTGAGCACAATCTTTTTTGTCATAGACTTATTGAAGTTACATGATTCCTCAAGTGGCATGAAGAATCGGTATTTTTGTAATGCGATACACAATGATAAAAGATTTATGATCATAACTCAATGTTTAAGAGAATCTTTTTCTCGATTAGATAAAAAACGTTCCAACTGAAGTTTCTTAGATGTTTGTTACCATTTTTCATATTCAAGTTAATGCAGTTGGACAAGACAGCGTATAATGATTGGTACCCTCCATTGTCAAATGCCTCATTGTTATTGTGTGGCTATATCATACTGTATGGCGCCTAAGATCATGTAGAATTGAAGCAATCCCTGACAATTATGTGCCCATTCTAGTGCGAAGTTACAAACGGTTTGCCCAGATGAGGAATAGAAACACTAAACCAAAAAGAATACACCAGAAACTCATCACAAACTAAGTGAAGACGTCAATTTCTGGATTTCAGGAAGGAAAAAGTATCAGTATCCTCATAAAATAATTAGTTGATAATTGAATCCGTTATTCTCAATGGAACATCCAAGTTGACATTAACACACTTATTCACAGCAATAGAAAAACTGTTCACAGAGATAGAATTTTTTAGGAGCAGTAGAAATAGTTACAGTATCGTGTTTATAGTAGAATAAATTATTGGTAGCACATAAAACTCAAGAAAAGCTGTATTTAAAAGGAGATTTTGGCGGAAGATTAATGAGTAGTGAATACACCACCGGAACGATTTGTGATTCGGGGAATATCATTCAGACCAAAATCTTAGTAATCACTGTGGTTACAGGTAATCATGGATTTCTTACCTTTGTCGCCTAAAATTACCTGATTATGACTCAGTTTCTAACCGTCTCTTGTGGTATGTCATCTACTTAAAGATATCTTTTGCGGTTTGATCACTCCCAGCTTGTTTTCAATCTACTCATACACCTCTGAGAGACATCACCATGCGCATGGTAGGCTGTGACTAGTGATTGATATACGTGCTAGATGCTATTCGAAAACATGACTTAGACTGCTGACAAAATTTAAAAATGTTATGACAGTCACTTGTTCTTATTAATCTTTCAAAATACTTTTTTAAATATTACTGGTTTTGCCAAAGCAGAGGCTTTTCTTAACTACGTATACATCGCCAGTTTTGAATATAAAGGTTGTAAGTCAAACCTGTGTCTGTACTAGGTCAGGAAGATTGTGAGGTTCGATACACCTTTATGAGTAGAGAATTAAACCATTCCTGGAGTTTATATATAGAGACCAAAGGCCAGATGTCTACAGTACAGATCCCGAGATTTCCAATGATGGTTTTAATGTGAAGATTAATTTTTTGATGGTAACAGTATACAGTTTGAAACAGTCTCTACGCACACAACTTGGATGAAGAGGACTACTGAGAGTATTTAAAATTTGTCACCTCTCAAAATTAATTAACGCTTGGAGCGAAATTCTATAACACTGTTTGATAATCTTAAGAAAACAAGGAAACATCCTTTCACTAAGTTTAATCATCGATGTGTCAATAAGATACATTGAATAAAACTTGTAGAATTCGAGTCTAACAATGTCACGAATACAAAAAGGCTAGTACAGGTTATATATATATTATATATACATCTATATATATATATATCTAATATATATACGACGTAGGTATTTAAGATAGATTGGTCTACGTTTCATTGATGTTCGGCCAGTATTAAATATCAAGAAATATAATCAACCTAACTTATAGATAAGGGTTTTATAAGGATTGTTGAACAATTGAAACATTAATTTTAGGAATTGAAGGCCACTGCTTTTTTCAATCATTCAGACATCAAGTTTCAGTGGTTCACGACGGTTAAAAAATGAATGACAAAGGTGTTTATAGCTTATAGAACTGTTGTAAAACATTTTCACTAATGAACAAATGTTCTATTTGGATCCAACCAGCTTATAATTATGTTGTTGACGTAAATCGGCACTTAGATTTTAACATAATACTGGTAACGGAAATAAAAAGATCGATGAAGATAAGGAGGTCATGAGTAAAGTTTTTTATAGTGGCTGTGAAGAGTCTACTTTAAACTGAATTAGGACACTGACAATTTTATTCTATGAAAGTATGAAACATTTTACTTAGAAGACAACAATCACCAAAAGTTGTAAAAACGCAATAGATATATATTGTGGCAGTCGTAAAAGATGTAAAAGATTTTGCCCCAAAAAGTAAGTTGAAGAACTGTTGGTTTCCGATGCAATCCCACGGAAAGCGCGAGTCTCCCCCCATAGGGAAAAACGTTACTGTTACATATTACTGCCTCATGCTGATCACAGTGGTTGAAAACGAGACACCCAACAGCACTTCCTGTTGACTATTTTTCAATACACACGCAAGATCAAAGAACACCTTAAGAAGAAGCAGAACATAATCTGATCATTAAATGATTTACATTACGGGGTTGTTGAAGAGATTGTATTAAGTTTACTACATATTTGAAACGCATATGGAATCGATAACAGTGTTAGACCACAAACTAGAACACCTGGAAGCACTGAAAGACGCAACGTTTGTACGAGCTGAGTATGGGTATCTCCACTCTACCAAGGCGCATCCTAGGACTCCTGTACCCCGCATGGAGATGTAGGCATTCGCGCCTACCAATATCCGAAGGTCCCTGGTGGTCTGAACGAATTCCCTTGCGGGGTGGCAGGAGTCCGTGCAATGCGCATGTGACTGAGGAAGTCCCGTACGCAGGACGAAAACGAGCCGTCCGTTCCACTTCAGGTTCAATCGCTTTATATAATCATTTATCTTTGCATTACGACACAATACAACAACCCCAAAGCACAAAGCGGAACTCACACCTGAGGACGGTGAAAGCTTTGGATACTGCTAATGTAAAATCTTATTTTACATGTCTGAGGAGCTTCTATTGACAATCAAGGTGGACTCTGATGGCAGATTGTGGGAAAGTGATGACATGCATTTCTACAACCGGAGTACAGTAACATCTGCAACTCAAAACACTGTCAACTCAATTTCCAATACAAACATCAAGATAGTTCTATTGTATAGAGCGTAACTTGGAGACCACGAAAGCCATAATCCA